AACTGAATTTTCAGTACAACAAAATACAATTTCAAAGCAAATAAATTCAGTTTCAGTTTAGTCAAATTCATTTTCAAACCAGTGGATTTAATGTCAAATTACGCAAATACAGATTCAGTCTAGGAATGCACGATATACACGGTACACGGTAGAAACGGTAGACATTTAGCCCATGATAGAGCTCTGTCTTCTACCGGCTAACCGCAGTAATGCTGTGTCTGATGTAAAATCAGAGTTGTCAGATTTAAACATTACGTTTTTTTGAGTTGAAAACTGTGTAAATGGTGTTAAAGTCTGTTTTCTTCGAGAGCTAAGTAGCGAAGCTACAAGTTAACTATGGCCGGCTTGCCGTACCGTTGCCGTATTCGGATGCATGCGCAAAACGCTGTGTTCCGTCAAAAGTTAAAGTAAGCGTTGGTCAGCTTTAGAGAGTGCATTTGTGCAGAATAAAAGGGGTTAAACCTGCTCTCTGATCAGTGAAAAGAACGCTGCATTGTGTGACTTTACTGCGACCCTCTTTGGTCAAAGCCACAGAGGAAACCGGTCACCATTTTGTGTCATCTCTCCTTAAAGGGGAAGGAGACACCCACTGGAGGAACCCCTCCTTTGCCTTTGAAGCCAAACCTTCGTCTGTCAGAAACTGACCCACTGGACTGGAGGAGACAGCACCAGGCTAATTTTTCAAGAATGGCAAGACTGGCCAAGAAATATCTTTGCATTCCAGCCACGAGTGCTCCTTCAGAAAGGGCATTTAGCTTTGGTGGCAACATTGTTTCATGCCACTGGTCTTTGTTAAAGCCAGAAACTGTGGACAAGCTGGTGTTCTTGGCCAACAATCTTTAGACTCTAACAAATGACAGCGAGATTTTGAATTTTAATTTTGTTAAGTGTTTCAGTGTGCACTTTTTTATATGTAAAATGATACCGGTAGTTGCTGTTCATTTCTTAAGTGAGAATACTGGAAACTGTTAAGAGTTAACAACATATTCCTTTGTTTAACACATATGGCTAAAACTACATTTGATATCCAATAATTCTCAGCCGGGTCATCTGGACAGTTTCTTTTTTATAGAGACGTTTCACCCTCTGTCCAGAGGGCTTCATCAGTCTGAGGAGTTCCAGTAAACTGATTAAGCCCTCCGGATAGAGGGTGAAACATCTCTACAAAAAAGAAACTGTCCAGATGACCCGACTGAGAATTATTGGATTTGATACCTGGATGATTGAGCATGAACTTTGTTACAGTTGAAAGCTTTTGCACTACAAGAAAGAAGTCTAATTCTTTATTTTTTTTATTTATTTAAAAACTCTCTGGACCTAGTAGTGGAATTTTTTTGATTAAGAAAATTTTGTGGTATGGTAGTTTTCAAAATAAATGAAAGCAAAATGACACCCTATGTTTGTCTTTTTTTCATTCCAATTGCAAGTTTTATACCAAAAACATATCATGATATATATTGTTACCACCACCCATCACAATAGATATCGTGATATGAATTTTATGTCCTATCGCACATCCCTAATTCAGTCTGAGCAATTCAAATTCAGTTTCGGATGGCACAAGTTTCTGCCCATAGTTTATGTTCCTACTTGGTAATTGTAATTTACAATATAATAATATTAACACCCTTTGTAATATAAATAGTCTAATCTAATCTTAATCTAAAAAATTTAAGACCGCTTGCATTTCCATTTTTGGGCTTTAAGCCCAGAATTTGTCTGTTAAGAGACAAGAGCCTTTTAAATGGTCACGTTTTTATTATTTAATTTAAAAAAGGGTGAAATATCTAGTTTAGCTGTTGTGTTGTGAAATCCATGATAAAGACAAGAATCCTTGCAGTTTAGTTCTCACAGTGCACAAACAGAGACATGTGGTTATACATAAAAAGCAACAAATACATGTACCTGTTGGATCATCTTAGACACCATGAAAGCACTCTGCTGATCAAACACTTTCGACAGGATCTCCAAACCAGACAGAACCTTATCCACCTCCCTGCAAACAGAAACAGATTCAACAACTTGCTTTCTGACGCTCAGCTAAAAAGTATCTTCTTTTCAGACTCCTCTAAAAGAAACATATTTCTACTACATACAGGTGTGTTGTTTGTTTCCCATCGTGATATTTAAACGTGCAACATGAGTAATTGTGGCCAAAACAAGTGAAGCAGAAGACGCTGGCAGCTCTGTGGGCTGAAGGGACTGTCAGGGCATTTAAAGCTTTAAAGCAGGGGTTCCCAACCATGGTCCTTGAGGAACACCATCCTGCATGTTTTAGTTGTTTCTCTGCTCTGACACACCTGATTTTAATTAATGGGTTCTGCGGGCTTCTGCAGAGCACAAGGAAGTAATTAAATCACTGAATAAGGTGTGTTGGAAGTGGGAATCAACTAAAACATGCAGGATGGTGTTCCTCAAGGACCAGGGTTGGGAACCCCTGCTTTAAAGTGCAGTTCTGTAAGTAGAAGAGAGGAGGTGTAGAATGGGTGCCTCTAACAATGTGCTGGTGTGAGCAGCTCACCCGTTAAGGCGCTTGCAGGAAGCCACAAGTGTTTTGTTGAGATGAGGCAGTGACGAGGCTCCCTGTTTGACGGCGTCGAGGTCCAACGCGTAGCTGCCCTTCAGGTACTCGTGCGAGATGGTGCTCAGGCCGTTTGCTGCCGGGGCGCTGAAACAAACCCAGGTAAAGTCCAGTAAGCATGTTGCTTACATGACATACTGTCAATATTCTTGTCCGTCCATCGTTTCGCTAGGATTCTTTGCTAGGTAACATTTGTGTCATTATTAATATGAACCACAGGGATATTTCTAAAATGTAGTCTGCTGATAAACCAGTGGGGAAAAACTGAGCCATCACTGACTTCCTCAAAGCCAACTGGTCCACCATGACATTCAGACACAAAGACATAAGATAGTGATGCGGTCATGCCAACATGCTGTCAACATTCTGTAACCTTAATTTGCATTTAAAGGCAGTCACGCCTTTGTGCATGTTTAATGTGGCGTCATTTCTCATTGAGATCAACATTTTAGACTAAAATAGATTCCCTGTTAAGTTGTACAGTTTTCCACCTGAATTATTTTTATACATCTTGACATGTGCACATACATTTACTGCAAACCACAAACACCAAACAGGTCCAAATAAGCCACTAATTTTGTAGAACCTGAAAAACTACCAAATCAAACTGTAAATATTGTTCATATTCTGTTTTAAAGGAAGATTGAATTTGATTTTTAACATGACAAAACATAGAAGACGCCTTGTTCCTTCTCCTCCTCTGTTCTTTGAGGCATTCTTCTTATGCTGGTGTTTTACGGATCATTTGCATAAAGTGAACAAAGCTAAATTCTAAGAATGATTTTATCCTTCGTTCCACGACAGACTTTGTTTTACAGGTGTTCAACTCAGCTCACTAACTTCTTAGTTGACACTAATGTAAATGTAATTTAAAAAACTGTCACTGTGTTAACTTCACTGCCAATATGAACTAATTTCCCATGAAACGGACAGATCGTTTTAATGAGTTTTGGTTCAACTCACCTCGAAGCTTAGGAACATCCGAACTTGCTAATTTGATATCTTCCTTTATCGAAAAGGAGTGTTACTCCCAGGATGGTTCCCATGAAGATAACACCATGAGAACCCCTTTGTTTAATGACATTTACTTTTCAGGGGATGGACAGTGACACCTCTTGGAGAAACAATGCCTGCTATCAACTCCAAAATGTCATTTTGTTTATTTTCATACCTGAATGTTTATTCATGACAATGTGTGTTTTAAGTAATCTCTCTTTAAGAAAATCATTTGTCTTATTTGTCTCTTTTAAAGGCAGACAGAGAAAATGGACTTCAGACTTTATAAAACATGACAAAGAGTTAGGACCAGACGTCTCAGGACGAGAGAAACTGACCAAACCAGAACCATCCCATCACAGAGTGGTAAATCCCGGCTGACTTCAGAACCAGTGCCCAGACCTTCGTCCCTCCAACCGATGATAGGTGACTTTTGAGGAGACAATCAGCCTCTCAGTCACCGGAGCATCTCAGGCCTTGCTGGTATCATTTTAAGCAGCTGTGGAACATTCTGACATCTGGTTCTGGTGAGAGAGACTCTTCAATGCACTTCTGGTGAACCTATTACAACTGCAAACTACAGCTCACTTTAGACACAATTTTAACTACTTCACAAACAGAACCAGTCCAAAATCTGCCTTTTTAAGTTTCACTGATTTGAATAATCAATTAGACCTTTGATACAAAGCTATTTGTTATTCATTCGTTTGTTGTGCATAATTTTTCATCACGTATATCACAGATTATTATTTTTGTAATAAAATACATAAAATCAACTAAATTTGTGATAGTTTTGGCATAGCTGTGTGTATTACTCATTTGATGCCCTTCAAACACGAGAAAATAATTCACGTTTCAGTTTTCATTTAATTTGGGGTTAGAGACTGATTTTTCCACTAAAACACAGGTGGTGCCCACACAGCGAGGTTATTTGCATAATAAATGCATATCTTATGAGCTAACTCATAACTGATCATTTACAATATATATCCAGCCCCATATCCCTCTACATTACTGATTAGACCAAATTAAATTAATGGGAAACGGCAAACTTCCTGTGTGTGCGTTTGAAATATGGCTGTTTGTGTGACGTTTTGCTAGTTGCTTCATAATTGTGAGCAGGATATGGTTAAATGATCTGTCACACAGACTTTGTACCTTTCTGTCGGCGTTTCTGGTCCAGGGGGAGTGGAGGTGGAGGCAGAGCGAGGGGGGAGGGGCGGCTTCTCATCCTCTCCATCTACAGGTTAGAAAATAAAAAAACTAGTCAGAATTTGACACACAAAAAAAAAGAAAGCGACAGCTGTGTGGCTGTGGGGTGAGCTTGTTACCTGAATAGTCCCGGTCGTCTGTGACAGCCGTCTCCTCTCTGTCCACAGTATAAAGCAGCGTAGTAACTAGGCCCTGACTGGGCTGCAGGTACAATGACACCAACTCTGGCAACGTCTTAAAGCGCTTAGGCTGCACGCCCTGAGAAGTCTGAGAATGGGAGAGAGGAAGACAAACACAGAGAAATGTCATTTCCTACATGGAGCCTTCACAATGATCACATCCCAACTCCTGAGCTGCAAGTGCTCATGTTTCTGAAATCTCCGGTGGCTTCTATTGTTCCATATTTAATGTGCAAGCAGGAGCAGCCCAGAGAGCTAAATATAATCCAAACCAGGAAGAGCTGGCTTGATAAACATTTCCCATCAGTCCCACAAAGAAAAATTACACTTTTCCCTTAATAGCCAAGGCCCAAAAATCAAACAGGAGGGAAAAACACCATCTGCTCTGAAGCACCATGTTATCGTGTGCGTGTCTGCGTTGTGGAGGACTTCACAGCTGTTAGGCACGAGGCACAAAGAGGCTGCCATGTGTGTGCATGTGTGTGTGCACATTTGAGACGGAGCGCTCAGAGTCAACAGAAGCATCTCTGCCCGCCAGCTGTTGCTGCAGCATGATGAGGAAGAGTGTGTGCCACTTCTGTACCTGCACCGCCAGAAATCCTTCATCGTCTGGGAGGATTCTGTACGTGTGGACGTGCTTCTGAAACCTGAAGGGAAACACCAAGAAAAACGTTTACGAGAGAGGAAGCAGAGGAAAAAAGGAGAAAAAGAACAAAATTGTTTGGGTTAAAAATAAAACTGGTTGACTTCTCTTGTTTATGTGGCCTGTTAGGATGTCTCTGTGTCTGTGTGTCTGTGGGTGAGTGGGTGTGTGGGTTAGTGGGGGGCTGCAAAACTCTTCAGCCTGTTGCCGTCCGTCACAGCTGCAAGCTTGATCTTTCCTGTAGCCTGACACAATGAACCAGAATTTACACATCATTCTGTTCAAAGTACAAAAAAGATGAAGTCGATAAGAAAAAGGTTCAAAATAAATTGGTCTCTTTCAGAAAATCTCTGACAGAAGTTTACATTTTACAGCTGCACATGAAATATGAACTGTGGACTGCATTGCTCATTGAACCGCAGGCCGCCGTGTCGTTTCTCTTTTCCACCCAGCCAATCACAGATCAATGCTCCAATACTGTGATCACCCAGCTGCGACATCTTGCCTGCAGGAAAATAATGATTTGCATGTTTGCACATCACGCCTGCTCGTTCGACCAGTAAAAAAAAAAAAACGTACATTTGCCAACCAAATGATGTGGTGTTTGTCATCTAGTGGTGGATTAAGGTGCGTTTTCTGATGTGGATATTTTGGCATACAAGTGTAAAGTTCTTACTTCCACTTCAACACTGTTCTTATTTCAGGCGTATTGTTTTTATACTACTAGTGCTTAGCATGCTTTTAGTTAAACATTTCTCTCAGTTCATATCTTAGATCTTATTACTGTTTTTCTTTTACATATTACACTTTTGTTGGATGTAAATGGGACCCTGTGTGCACAACTTCGTTCCACCACATGTACCACACATGGTGCGTATGACAAATAAAGAAACTCCGACTGATTTACGGTATATGAACAAACAACAACCTGAACAAAACACAACAGTATTGTGTAGAAAAAAGAAAAAAAAACATGATGCCATGACTGCCGTCACATTTTCTACATTTTTGTAACTCTTACATTTTTCAGCACAATAATGTGAAATACACATCTTGTTACAACCATCTGAACTGGACCAGTACTACCTCTGAAACCTTAACTACTCTGATCATGGACAACCAGTGACTCAAAATTATTCAAAGAAAACTAATTAATGGTTTGAGCGAGACACAGATTTGCTCTACGTCTGATTCTCAATACTTTCAGTGGCTCCCATTTGTAGTTTAAACATAGCTCAACTAGTTTGTACGTTGTTGAAAAATAGTGTATTCATTTATACAGAGACTTCTGCGGCTACTGACTGTTAAATTTAGGTACAATCAGCTAAACCACAGGAGTATCATTTTGTTAAATAAACTCGGAGAGAAATAAATATTTTTGCTGCGTTCATCCATAGTCGTGTCTTACATAGTTTGCTTGATTTGGGAGTTAAGGTACAAAGAGCGGAATTTAAATTGTTTTGGTGGTTTGATATATTGTTGAGAATGAATAATAATGTTTTCATAGATATAATAAGGTGCCTCGGGTAACATTATAGACTACTAGTGGTGTAACGGTACACGTGGGTGTACTGAACCATTTCGGTACAGCATGTTTGGTTCGGTCCACGCGTGTACCGTTTCGTTTATTTTTTCATTCATTAAATTTTTTTTTTCCATTTACCTTTTATTATCCAGGTAGTCTCATTGAGCCACGAGAACTCATTTTCAAGAGAGACCTGTTTAGGGAGCAGATGGTGGGGGTTAAGGGCCTTGCTCAGGGGCCCAGAGTGGGGTGAATGAGGGTGGAGGCAGGTGTGGGTGTTCCACCTTTTCCATCCACATTTTGATGTTGACGGTACTGGGAATCGAACCTGCGACTTTCCAATCACAGGTCCATCTTCTAACTTCTGTGTCACCACTCCACAAATTATTATTATTATTATTAACTAGAGATTATGCACCGCGGAACTAAAGTTCCTAAGCGTGTTTCAGCACGGCGCTATTATCTTGCAGCACGCGTAGCATTAGCAGCCTAGCATGTCGTTGTGGTCTCCTGCTGGGAAACATTATGGCTTTCTTGTTAAAAGACAAGTGAACAAATCTAAAGCTGTGTGTCGACGACGTTTCATGGAGAGTGGATCTGCAGCAGCAACACGTCGAACTTGTAACTTGAATCGACATCATCCGAATGTGAACGTCTCTTCTACAAGGAAGAAATGCAGCGATAACAGCAGTATTGAAACAACATTTATCAGGTCATTCAGATCGGTCCAAAGCAAGAACACAAGCTGTAGGAGTTTGTAAAGCTCTGGATCTACGTCTGTAATCTGTCGACGCGTCGCTTTAAGCATATGATTAAAGTTATTGAGCCCCGCTACAACATCCCATCATGTCAACACTTCAGCCATAAAGTTGTAGCAGCACTTTATGAAAAAGTTAAAACTGACATCATCAACAAGCCCGACCCCAGATTTAAAGCCCTGCCCTGACGATGATGAGCGAGAGAGAATATTCAACCATCTCATATCAGAAATGATGACCATGCAAGAAGAAGTATTGTTATTGTATTATTGGGATTATTGTGGTATTATTGTGATCTAATTAACTTTTTAAATTTAAAATTATAATCTTAACTCTTTATTTATTTATTTCTGTGTTGTTTGCAGTCTGAGGATGATAACAGCTGAGTCTTCTTCATCCACCAGATCACCTCCAGCTAAGAAGTCTGTAATGACTGAACTTGTTTACTTGGCATATTTTCAAAATAAACATTTTGTAAGTCTTTATTTTGGCCTTTTTTGTACCGAAAATGAACCGAACCGAGTCCTCCTTGAAACCGAACTGAACCGTGATTTTAGCGTACCGTTACACCCCTATAGGCTACCGTCTACTTTTGAGCAACAAATGTCACACACGATTTGCCATCCATTTTACAGACATATTTACAGAAAGTGCAACACAGAATAAAAGAAAAGGTATGATCAGGTCAATGGCTGTACTTCAGGTCAGTTTTGAAATGAGAACGCTCCTCGGATGGGAGAAACAATGCCTTCAGCTCACGTTGTTATTATCACCGTGTCTGAATCAACAACGTAACATTTTAAAACGTTGGTTACGTACTGTAACCCCAGATTCTATGAGTATAAGCGTAGCCCTTTAAGGCTTTCGCTTAGTGGGTTTATCCTGTTATGCGGAGCATTAGCAATGAAAAATTTAGTCCACGCCCACCTGCTGTGTGGGCCCCACCCGGTCCGTATAAATTACGTTAAGAGCGGGAAATCCGCTCCCAAAAATAGCTTTTTTCTTCAGCCATTCAGGAGCCAGTGAGACCCGACGCTTAAAGGGCTACGCTTATACTCATAGAATCTGGGGTTACAGTACGTGACCAACGTTCTATTTCGTATAGGCTTCGCCCTTTAAGGCTTTCGCTTAGTGGGTTAAGGGCGAAGCAGATGTGGTCCTCGCCTCACTGGGTCCACTCGAACACCGTATGAAGCAGAACCTTGCCCCAAAAAAAGTCTAATCACTCAGCTCCCATGTGCGTAATTACGCATTGCGTAATTATGTGTGCCATGCACAGACGCATGTTGTGTAACTATGCATTCTGAATGCATGAACGCCCCGGAAACATCAACGGGGAGGGAAAAAACGCTGAAAAGAGCCCTGAACCAACCGGTTTACAGCTGAACCGTATGAACAGATTAATAATAACAAGAGAGCTGATTATTAATCAGATGAACTGATTGGTAACAATAGTTGTGAACTGATTAATGACAATAGAACCAAATAACAGTCACAACTTGTGACTGATAACATCTCACACTGTAATGCATGCAGACAGATGTGAGTAAAACGGAGTTCCATGAAACAACAATATTCATTCTGTAAACACTAAGGACAGAATGTGTCATGGAACAGACCGTTACATCACCTAAATAAAGGCGAATAAATGAGCAGGGTGTTGACCACGCGGCCACAGTGCAAAATGTCCTGCATTGACATACCATTATGCAAAGCAGTCAAAAATGCGATACCCCTGATAGAGTGCGCTCTGAGGTTGACAGGAGACTCTAATTCTGATGCTCTGTAGGCTTCAGAAATAGTCTCACACAGCCAGTGTGACAAGCGCTGGGTGGATAACGGGCGACCTGCAGATGCATCTCTATAATGCACAAACAGATGTTGACGCATTGCAGCTGTGCACGCTATGTAACATGTCAACGCCCGCACAGGACAGAGGAGATAAAAAGACGTTACTTCTTCTGATCTGTGTGTGTGTGTGTGTGTGGGGGGGGGGGACGACGACCCCTCCAACGATATCGCTCTTGATTAAAAGAGCTCGTGATGTATTAGGCATAAAAGCTGGGTTGATCTAAAATCAGCTGAGCTGCCGTCAGCCTAATTTCTGAGACATGACGGAGCGACAGAGAGGGCAGATAAAACACTCACTCTCTTAGCGGATGTTAAAGCCAGCAGCACGGCTGTTTAAAGAGACAAGAATTTAAGTGGAACCTGATCCAAAGACTCAAATGAAGCTTTGATCATGACCTGCAGGACCAGTATTAAATCCCACTGGAAACAAGTGCGTGTGAGACAGACCTGCGTCTCTGTACACCTTTAGAAAACGTTTCATCAGCGGATGATAAAACCTGTTCTGTCTCAGAAACCTTCATGTCAAGAAGAGATGGCTGCAGCGTACGTTTAACACGTGCTGGATGCAAATTTCTGTCCATCAGCTGCTGCAGAAAGAACAGCATGCCACCTAAAGAACATGAGGTGGCCTCTACACCCTTCTCTGTACATCAGCACTGAAAAGCTGTCCGCTTTGATGTGTACATCGCTGTGGTAGATGCACCACGAGAAACCTGAATTGTGCGCATTACATCCTGTGGGCGACCCATCCTCTCTAAGTGGATTTGTTCAACGGCCAGACCCACAGGTGCTGGCCTATTTCTGGGTAACTCCTGGTCGCTCCTCCTGCCTGGAAGGAGAGCGTCCTCCCTCTACGGCAGTTTCCACGGG